ATGACTGCAAAATAATTTTTTAATTTTTTAAATAGGAAATTTGACTTTTTTATAATTATATTAGAAAAAATAACTGTATTTTAATTTTGAGATGGGAAGCTTCTCATAAGCTTTTTAGGAAGCTCTTTTGCTTTGACTAGATGTGACCAAGATATCTAGATAAACTATGGATTTGTTGCCAAGAGCTAAATGCTAAAGACTGTAACATATTCCTTAAGTCAGCACCCTCCTTGAAAGCCAGTGCTGGGAACTTTTATAATTTAAAAATACAAAAGTTTGTGTTCCATCCTAACTCCTCATTAAGTAAAGTCTGTCCACCAACTTAAATTTTCCCATGCTTCCAGTATCAGTATTCCCTGCCCCATTTCTTTGTGGCCTAAAACACTCATTCAGCATTTCGGCACAGAACAGTGCAGCTGTAAGTCTTGCCTGGTTACCATAAAGAGAAGTTATTGCAGTCCTTCACTTTCAAAGTTTACCTTTTCTCAAGAGTATTGGCACTGACAGAAGGAGATGTTATACTGCAAAAACACCAAAGCATGAACTGACTGTAAAATATCTTAAAAAAATTCCTTTAGTGACAGGTACTTGAGAGGAGGGTGTAATATTCTGATTTAATTTTGTTTTCAAATGATTACAGACAGACACAGCTTTTGCCTGCAGGAACTGACCTTGTGCCAGTGACATCAATGGAAACATTGCCATTGACATTATTGGGAATTGGATCAGATGCACAGTTTGCACCAGCCATGTGATAGCTGTAGGTAATGATATTTTTCTTATCACATTTAGTACTCTGAAGAGTAAAGTACATGTTAAGATTTCAGTTGCTTTTTACAATGGATGTGGTGAGTATTGAAATATGATGATCAATAATTTTGTTCCTTTGAGAAAGTCTAGTCAGTGTTTTTTTTCTGAACTTAATTGGACTAGAAGAAAGCAATCTAGCAGAGCTGATAGCAATCAATGCAGTTAAAAATGAAACTGCATAAAAATGGCTGAATACATTTATGTAAATAGCTGTTTTTTCACAGTCACAATCTTCAAACGGCATGATGCTAGACTTAATAGCTACGTACTTTGACAAAATAGTTTAAGCAGCAAACCAAGAAATGCCTTTTTTTGATATTTGAGCTTTGAACAAATCATTGAAATTGGTTTCTGAACTAAAGGAAAACCTATTTCTGGAATCAAGTTTCAGAACAACATCTGGAATCCAGTTCAACATGAACTGCCTAATGTCTGTAGGCACTGAGGAAAAGTTATGCCAGACTTTAGTGCTGGAACCCAAGTGCTCTCACCTAAATTTTAAGAATATTTCAGCCAGATTAAGTGGTAATATTAATTTATGTTTCGTTAAGGATCTTGACAGTTTTTTCAGCAAAGAACTTTTACTGTTGATACCCAGGTACTAAATCCTTTAATTTTTACATCACCACGTTCGCATTTCTCCTTTTGCCTCTGGATCATTACATTGCAATACTCACTTGTCCACAAGAAAATTACATACTGGTATGTAAATATGAAATATTCTGCCATTTAAACTAGCCAAAAATGCATTCAAATGCAACTTGTTTTCTGTCCTATTTTTCACCTTGTTACATTTGGATTGATAAGGCTAACTGAATGAGTGATCCAATTGACCATGCTACTTGGCCACTTCTTATAGTTGCACACTAGAAAATTCTATGATGATATTTTTTCAGATGGGTGCAATTATAGTTTGCTGCTTCCCAGGAAAGATTTGGAAATAAAAGAATAAGTTAATGCTGACATAACTTTTAAAAGAAATAATTTTTATCACTTTATAAACACAAAAGAAAAGGATCATTTCTCCTTTCATCTTAATATCTCTTATCACTTCACTGGGAAGGTTCTGTACTTTGGATAACAGTGACAATGCGTTATTTGATGGGGGGAAAAGTGAAAACATTTAGACTTTCAAAAATTTTGTTTGCTTGCTGCCATTCTGTTTTTCATCATTGTCCACTTAAAAATAAAAAATTTTGGGAGGAGGGGAAGAGTCACATTTCAGTCCTTGCCTGTAAAAACTTTAGTAGACCACTGTTCTTCAAGTATCAAAAAAGTTTTTATATTAAAAAGGTATTTAATTTTTACTGTCCTATTATATTATTTATTTATTAGCAATTTTTTGCCACTCTTCAAGTTATGGTGCTGACAGGTGCAAGATGCAGGTATGCTCAGGTATTTGTACTCATTTTAAGAATGGTTTCACAGTGGCAGAAAGGAACTACGTTAATAGCATTTCTGTTGGGAAGATTGAGAATAGTGTAGAGAACACACAGATTAAACTCCACTCCTAAAAGTGAATGGACAAATTCTCCCTACTGGAAGGTGAAAAATAAGTGAGTTTTGATATTTTCATAGGTGACATATATCTTACTATTTTTCTTAAGTAAATTTTTCCTAATTCATTATTTACTAGTCTGTATACTTCTCTACACTTATAAGGACTTACACATTTTAGACTAAGATATTATAACTGTATTTTAATGAAATTTTGCATTACTTAGACTATACTACTTTGGCCAAATGTATTGTTGAACATTTACAAGCATATTATGAAGTAGTATCATAACAAAATTATGCTTCTCAAAGAAATTAATAAAGTACATTTTACGATACATCACGTTGTTTTTAATTGTATTTGTTCTATCTATTGCACTATTGTGCTGGATAAAATCATAAAATACAGAAATATGTGAAGGAACTTCCAGCCAGTGTGAATTACCACATTTTTACTTATACATTTTATGAGATGTTGTTATTATTGTTGTTTTTTGAAACTTAGCCATTAAAGGCTTTGGCAAGAACAGGAAAAATGCATTAATGTCTAAGTTTCCTTTAGAATACAATTTAGCTTATTTTCTGGTCATGGACAAAGAGTCATGTTCCTCATTTTGTCATATCTTATAACTCATTAATTTGAGAGTTTGGTCTTGATCAACTTAATATTATGGATATCTAATGTCTTAGTGCAATAATGAATATATGTTGTCATTAGTAGTAAAAGAAGAGTTTGAAGGATAGTGTTTGTTGTAAGGTGAGTTCTAGTCTTCAAGACCCTTCTTTTATGATCTTAATTTTATGATCTTAAATTTTTTAATGTTAATGTTAAATACCTGTGATTATAAAATAAAATGCTAGGGTCTATTCAACAGAAAGCCTGAGTGAAATTCTCTCTAATTCCAACAAGAAGGTTTTCTGATCTTAATTATGATTCTTATGAGCATGAATGAATTTCTCAGAAAACAGGGAGCAAATATGCTAAAAAAATGTAACAAGCTGTTGAACATTCTTGTTCAAGGAATATGGTTGGTTTTGTTTATTGTTTGTTTTTTTTACAGGAAAGAAGATAACTGGTTATTTAACCAGGTTTTGAGAGTCTCTCTACCACTTGATAGGGACTACTCTATCAGAACTGTATATAGATAGAATATAACTAATTCATTAAAAAATTAACAGAGTGATTGAAATTAACAGAGTCCAACTATCACCAATGCAAAATGATTCAATTGAAACTACATGGTCCCGGTATAAAAGACTGGAAGTATTCTGAATGGGACACTAACCAAAGGAAAATAATGCCTTCTCTGGAAGTTTAGCTTCAGAGTTCTCAACCAGCTTTTGGCCCATGGTCCTTTCTCTTCCTAAATAGAGTTTTTGTTTAAAAACTTTGAATTTTCATGTTAGGAACTCAGTGAAGCCCATTTGCCTTGTGCGTGCAAAAGTTCCCTTGTTCAGGGCAGAACATAAAATAGGTAGTTTAGTATCTATGAAATGGCACATTGCTCTGTGCAATGTAAACAACAGATGATTGTAAGAAGATAATTGTGATCCATAGTGATGCTGTTCTTACTAGCCAGAGACAAGCATATTCATTAACCTTGAAAAAGCACTGCTAAATGACATCTTGAATTTGTCTGCCAATATGGTCTACAATTATCAAATCAATTGGCTTTACAGAAAATCAGTTCCTATTCTTCTACATGGCTCTTTTCTGTTGGCACTACCTGTGCAATTTTGGTCTTGCCAAATCCTTCTTTGACAGGGGAGCTCCCTACATTTTATAAAGCCAGTATTTTCAGAAATATGGCTTGAAAACAAGGATCTCAAAATAAAGAAAATACTATCACAAAATAAAAACTTAGTTCAATATTCAGATTTCTGTATATGAAGAATGAAAACTTCATTAATGACCTGGAAAATAATGAGGTTGAACAGAAAGGATTTGCCCTTCCTAAACAAGCCAACTACAATTGTTTCTTAGAATGATAATTTTATACTTTCATGACAGGATGTACAGGTCCACAGCTAATTAAACCTGTTACTATACATATGCATATATTTATTACAAATAAAATTCTGCATATACTTTACATATAAACTAATTAGTCAATAGACAATGAAAGTGAATACTATTCACTCTCTCATAGCAATAGATAGCAATGCTGTTATTCAAGGAAATTATTTATAATATCAGACAGTCATTACTGAAGTTACATGCTGCTATAAACATTCATCCTTGAATGAACTCTTAAACGGTTGTAATATATTTACTTATTCACTCTCTTGTTTGTTTAAAACCCTATTTGATGTACAATATTGAGAAGACAATCATGAGACATATTGTTATTTTAGTCATTGTCATTGGAGAAAGTTCAGCTGGGGTAATATAATTCTTTTATTTTGTTCTGTAAATGTCAATCTCATATCAATGACTTTATTTGAGGACTTTTCTTTGAGCATGATTTTTTTCTTCCTGATTAATCTTGGAATATCTTTTGAAAAGGTATTTAACACTCATATCGAAATTTTTAAACTTCCCTTGGCTGCTGTCAGAAACCTGACTGCCCTCCATGGTGCTCAGTCAGCATTTTCAGATTCAGCACTTTCTGTCATTGATTGATAGAAGAGACTTCTTCCCCAGTTACTGAGTCAGACACATCAGGCAGAGACAGACAGGCTGCAGAAGAAAATTTAATCGAGTAGAAGTAATTTGTAACAGATTTTAGTATTGAAATCTACTTACAAAGAATATAAAACTTTAAAATACTGTGTAGTTGATAGCAGGTATTTAGCATATAAATTTAAATGAGAGTACACCTTTTCAAGAACAAACGCACAGCCTACAAAACAAAACAGTAAATGACAGGGAGTGGACTTACTGTCATTATATTAAGAAGTACCTTTGGTTTTGCCATATTGTAACTAAGGATGCCAACAGTGAGTTTAGTACACAGTACACACTCTTCTCTTTGTGCATGGCTTTTAATAAACGAGTTAATGAACTTCATCCAGGTTTTAGCAGAAGCATGTTTCATTACCCAGAGGAACAACACAAAAATGTAGGTAAGAACCTGCGATAGAACTCCCTTCTCAATGTAAAGAACGCATTTCATTGAAAAGGTGAGTTCATGGTTTGCACTCACCTCCCTGGTGAAAGGGAGTGGGAAAGAAAAGAGCCAGTAATGACTGCAGCTAAATTATTAGTGCCAAGCTACTACAGTTCTGCAAACACCACTCCTTAACAGGTCATTGGAAAACATTTTTTTTGAGGGAAACCCTAAGTTAAATGACATTCCAAATTTAAAAGTAAATTGTATTTATCCACAATATTGGTAGGAAAATAGTATTAGACTTTTTTCAAACATATGCTTAGAAAAGAAAACTTATCAGTCCTGTCTAATATATACTATTAAATTGTATAGCGTTCTGATTTCTTAGGCCAAAATATTTTCTTAGGTGTAAGAACAATTGGTCACATTTTTAAAGTCATCGACAAACCTTTCCACTACTTTTGGCATCAAGGAAAGCATTGAGAGAGATCAAGAGTTAAAAACAATTTATTTTTCTGTGACGATGTGGGAAATAGTGAGGTTTTTTTTCATTTAGTAGTGTTAAATTTTTGAAAGCTATTTCTGTTGCTCCAAGATCAATATGGAATTCAGGAATTAATATTTCTGCTGTAATGCCTTGAGACCATAAGACAAGCAGTGAGTTTTTTTGCAAAAAAACAAAGTCTTGGTAAATGCTTAATTCTCTCTAGATACAGGCTTGTTGGCTGTGTTTAGATTGACAATTGGCTTTAAGATAATACTTTCACTTTTCAAATAGCTCTCAGCAGATATATGCATGTAGATCTGCCAAAGAATCTATATTTGTCTTGTTTTATGTTGGCAATATGACTCCCAATTATTTTTAAAATGTCCATTACAGCATGTTTCCAAAGGACTTTGAAATATGTTTTCTATCTTCAAGGCAGTGTCTTCATAGACATGTTCAAGTTAATATTTTGGAAACTACACAGGGAAAAAAGAAATTAACCCTTTGTGTTCTTCTAAAAATGCATATACAACTCCTACAAAGAAGAGAGTTGATGCTTGAAGTAAACCACCAAAGAAGAGTTTAGTATAGTTTTACATGACAGACAAAAAATAGCTTAGGCTAAATTGCCGGTTTCTTTGTCTTTCAAATATCTAAAGTCTGCCAGATTCAGCATGAATGCAGAGATTTGTCATCACTGAGAACTTTTCAGGATTTAAGATTACAGCAGGTCAGATTCCATTGATTCTATTTGAATTATTCCCAGTGCTTTCCTGAGTCTATGTGAAATGCTTACTACCCATGTACATTAATGTTAATGTTTCCTAGAATCTGTTCTGACTTATGTTTTCATAATCTTTCTGCGCTGGTAGATTATTTAGATGTAGTGAAGTATGTTCATCAACAAGTACAGTCTTGTCACTTAGCCAAGTGTGCTACAGAGGTCCTTTGGGCAGCATGGTAGATTTCAGATGTAAAGTTGTTAAGAAAAAAACCAGCAAAATAGAAAAATCCTCATGGTAATACAAACTCACTTCTTATAAGCATATTTGCATTAAAATGCACAATAAACTCAAACCACAATAGGCGTAAAATGTAACAAAATACTCAACAACAAAATCAATAAAAACAAACAAGCTAAGCAACAAAATGAGTAAACAACAATTACAGCATTTAACAAGCAGGGATAGATAGTCTGAGTTCCTAAGCTTTATATTAGGCAATGAAAATTTGAGCTTTTGTATGCATTTATCTTCCTGCCCTGTCCAATTTTGTGGCAGAATTGTAAATGACATTAAAATTCATCTTGTGAGATAGCGCTCACCGTGTGGATTTTTAAAAATACAATCACAGATAACCTTATTTTAGCTCTTTGAGATTTTATCTTTCCAAGTAAATGAACCAAATTCATGCCCATCTACTGCATATAGATGGTTTCAGATGATGACTGCTCCAATTTAATCTCTTCTTCAAACCAGCTAATTAACTATACTGTACCTCCCTCTCTGTATCAAATGTAACACAGCATTTTTTAATCTTTATTATTTGAAACACAGTAAAGTTTAAGGAGTGGTATTTTCCAAATGTGTGGAATCAGCATATACTGTTCATTTAATTTAAATGTGGCGATGTAATCCTGGTCCCTCTGAGGTTCCTTAGTACTGAAAACATTCTCATCAATGTTACTCGCTGGTCTCGTGTCACAGCATCCTGTCCCCCCACTTCATAAAGCTATGTGGTTCTTCAAGCCAGTTTCTTGACACTGTCTGCAAAGAGAGCAGAAGAAAAAGGATCAAACTGAGCGCAAGAGTCATGGAGATATATATCATAAAAATGTGCTTCATGTGACACAACAAATTTCATATATTACTTTATCTTCATGTTTTGTCCTTAAATGACTTTGACATACATAAAGATTATATGAGTAATTCAGATTTATTATTTTTCACCTTTAGTGCCTAATTATACAAACTTGATTAGGCAGACTGGATGGGAAAATGTAGACTTTCAGTTAATATAAAATGTGATAAACTGATAAAAAAGTGCAGTGGTTGGTACCAGGAATTGCAGTAGATACTGAATGTAGTTTTCCATTTTCTATATTTAAAAGTTTTGTTCAAAATTCAACTAAATTTATTCCATTGACATTTACATGTTAACATATTTTCCTGGTATTGCAATAAAATAATAGTTTTTAATAAACTGTTGGAAATATTCAGACTGCATCACTTTACCTACAAGATCTTAAGAAATTACCCATGCAAGGTCATTATGTGTGGCCTGATTATTGATCCCATTGACATGAAAGTATAACTTACCTAAAGGGACATTTATCAATGTGATCAGTGACACTGGTTTCCTATGACATCATACCGTGAATGTTTATTGGAGAAAAAACACAAACTGACATGACAGATTAGCTTAAATGCCTTTATAATACCTTGGCACTTCATCTTGCACTTTTATTTTCAGTGGGAAATACTTTCTGTTATTTTTGTGATACTTTGTTACAATATTCATCAATACTTTTCAATTATTGTATTTTTTCTGTTTTCGTATTAGTTGTTTTTCTTCCTCAAATAGAGACAATGAAGGTATATAAACTGTTACATTTCTTTGATTTTTCACTACTGTTCCAGTTTATTATGATCCCTTTGAATTCTGAATTTGACCTTCAGAATTGTTCCAACTCTCCCCAGCTTTCTATTAGAAATGAACATTGTGTTCTCCTTCTTTGTCAAGTTTGGTAAATAATGACTGAATAAAAACAGCTTGACAATCAGTAGGAATGTGGTATTGTGCATTAACTACTTAAATAGTTTATTTGGCATGTATCTGATATTGTATATCAAGGATGTTTCTGATTTGATATTGCTTTATATGGTGGAATCATAGACTGGTCTGGGTTGCAACTTAAATATTTTCTAGTTCCCAACACCAGCCAGAGAGAGGGACATCTTCAGCTGAAGCAGGTTGCTCAGACTCCCATCCAACCTGACCTTGCACACTCCCAGGGATGGGGCAGCCACAGCTTCTCTGGGAAACCTTTTTCAGTTTAAAGCCATTCCCCCTTGTCCTATCACAACAAGCCCTTGTAAAAAGCCCCTCTCCGGCTTTAAGTACTGGATAGCTGCTGTAAGGTCTATCTGCTCCCTTCTCTGTCTCTTCCCTGTGATCATTTCAGGGACCTCCTCTTGACTTTCTCCATCAGGCCCACGTCCTTCTTATGCTGGGAGCTACAGAACTATAAGCAAATATTCAAGATGTGCTATTATTTCAGTATCAAGATGTGTTTATGACTGCAAACACTGCAGCAGTGAAACAATATTAAAATATTTTCAGAAGTTCAGTGGGAACTTATAAATTAACTAGGTATTATGTCTTTGATTTATGCAGGTTTTTAAATGTTTGAATAACAAAATAATGCTACAGTTAGCCTTAAATTCTTTTTAAAAGCCTTTTTATTGCTACTTATATGCTTCTTTAAGTACCGAGCTGTCAAAAAGCACAGCAGTTTGTGTCTTGTCACAAATTTGATATGGTTTAGGTAAAAATTGTCATTTTAAGAATTAAGAATGCTTTTATTCTCCATGTGTTTCAAACAACTTTACCTCTAGAACTGCAGATTTGGATTTAAAATGAGTTTTATGGAATTGACATTGTAGTTTAGGGAATTTTTGCACATATTTTTCTTGTCATTTGGAGGATATCCATGTTCAGCAGCAACTAGGATCATGAGCATATAAAATAAAGTAAGATCTGCACAGAAAATCTGTAGAATGTATTAACGCTGCCGCTGAGTTTAAGAGTTTAGGTCTAAACTTTCTCCAAGCAGATGTGTTTTGAAGAAGAATTAAAAAATAACATCTTTATCTGAAAAATAAAGAGGATTTACTAAGGTCTATCATAATTTCTTAATGTCATAAACAGTGATCAGACAACAAGTACTTTTAAAAGCAAAACAAGTAATTTTAAAAGGTCATATTTCCTGTGAAAATAGGCTGTTTCAGTCTTAAAATTGTCAGGTAAGAAAAGACTGACTTGAGATATAAGTCATGGGGGGCATTTACCTGTCATTTTTTTCTCCCTAAATTACATGGGCAGGCTCAGTAAATAGCAACTCTTTCTTGATATATAATACAGTTCAACCAGTTACTACTTGAAACTTGCTTTTTCTTAGAGAAACTTCTAGGTTTTCTTCTTCTTCGGTCAGAAGACAGTAGATGATATTGATAAAGAGATAAAAGGACACATCCTCTGATGCTAACAGGCTCTTTGTTCATCATTGTTTTAGTCAGACTACAGCAATATTTAGTGAATCCAACATGAAGCCATGCTTTAGCAGATAAAACATTAAGGTGCAATGTGAGCAAGTTCACTTAAAAGAAGTTTAACTCATATGTTAGTTCAGGAGGTTAACATGCCTCTAAAACTATGGGCTCAGAAATATTTTAGGAGAAACTAAGAAAAAATAGTCCTTTGGATAGAGATAGTTTATGAGAACTTGAACTAAAGGATAGTTTTAATTCTCAAAGCTGTCAGATTGTCATAATCAGATCCATTGCTTAAAAATCTAAACGAAACAAACAAAACATCCCTCAAAAATCTTTTGACCAGTGTCTCTGTAGTGTCTCCAAAATAAAAGCTTTATCTTTGCTTATTTTGTCAAAAGGCAATTGCAAATATTATAGAGGGATAATTAATTCAATGATGAATGTTCAATAGTTAATATTCGTGATTGATTCCAAGCTATAAAACAAAGGTTGGTGGTACTACAGTTACTAATTAAATTCTAATTAATAATTTTAACCTTGTGACATTTAAAAAATAAGTAGGCATCATCACTAACCAACCTACATTTTAGTTATGATTCTAGACTTCATTATATTCAGTAATAATTCTTATGTGGCCATAAGCCTCTGCAAATTTGACCTGAGATTTCAGCTGTAATTTTTCAGGTTTATGCATATTTCAATATTTCATTTTAAGAATAAATTATCCTTGCATTGGATAAAATTGTAATTATCCATAGTCTTTTAAAGTTAATCTAAAATCCTTAAAATAGAACTACTTTAGGTCCAATTTAAAGTAAATCTTAGATTAATAATCTGCATTTCAAGGGGAAAAAAACCCTGAAGCACAGCACTGTGTCTATCTCTTGTTTCAGTATATATATTTTTGGAGTGATTAATTGTGGATATATTCTTGAAAGATACGATATTTTATATGCAGTATTGTATTTTAAACGTTTCAAGTATGGTACAAGTATGAAAGTTTAAAACCACTGTGGAGCTTCCCTCTGACATTGCAAGCTTGCCATCAGGTACCAGAGTAATTGTTTCAATCCAAAAGGAAGTTTTTTCAGAGAAACACATAATCAGAAAATGATTGGCATTGGGAGGGACCTCTGAAGATAATCTAGCCCAAAAAAGCCAGGTTCAGCTAGAGCAGGTTGCACAGGACCATGTCTAGGCAGGTTTTGAATGTTTCCAGAGGAGATTACACAACCTCACTGGACAGTCTGTTCCAGTGCTCTGTCAGCTGCAAAATAAAGAGAATTTTCCTCATATTCAGATTCCTGTGTTTCAGCTTGTGCTCACTGCCTTTTGTCTGTCATCGGGCAACACTTACATGGGTCCGGTCTTCTTGACATCTTCCCTTAAGTCATTTGTATGCATTGATAAGTTATTCTCCTTTACCCATTTCAAAGGTTTTCAAAAATCTGGGGAATTTTTGAATACCTATAAATAGTGAAAAGAAAACCCTAATTGCAGCATTATTTTGCTGATGTCTATTTTATAACTTCTACCATTACAAAATAAATTTTTCCCTTTCAGTTGTTACACTTCTAAAAATTTCAGACTTATGTTTATTTTTGTCATAAGAATTTATGTTCTGTTTTTAGGATTGGAGTAAGGACACTCATTACACCTTAGTTTCCAGCTGCAAAAAACCCACTGTATCATTGTATGCAGATCTCTCTGGTTCTCCAAGGGTTTTCCTATAATGTGGTTGAAGCACATGGCATTTAATGAATACTCTAGTCTTTCAGAGTGTCATCTAAGATGGATTTAATGCAAGTTGTAGCTTGCATTTAGTTATTCAAATAGCTTTTTATGTTGTACTGACATAATGCATGGAACAGTAGAATGAGACTCCTATAAAAATGGGATTATTCTGTTGCATTGCTTATGCTAGTTATCACAGTCAAAACCTGGTAAATAAGTTTAGTATATCTGTAATTTTATAACATTATTTAAAATCCTGTTCTCTTCAGCATGTTTAAGCTTTGGAAACTTGGTGCAATAGTTTTATTTCATGGAATTTATATATTGTGGAAATATACAGCACAGATCCTTCTGTGTACTGTATTCTTATGCATGCAACCTAGAAAGTTCTAACTTACCATTTGTGTTTGCTCTAAATATTATATTTCTATAAAGGAAAAAAAGTTCCCAATGTGATATTGCCTAAGGACACTGGAGACATTAAAAGTTATTTTTATCAAGTTAAATATTTTTAAACAGATTAAAAGGATAAAAAAAAAAAGAGAACAAATGCACCTAAGTCCAAAGCTGTGATTCTGAGTCTACTTTAGAGAGTGCCTAACTTGTATCTTAATTAATTTGTCTTATTTTAAATTCACTTGTTCTCCTCCTGTTTATAAATACTCCTCTGAAGACTTCGAGTAGCATTTTTCTAAATTCTTGATAAATTTTGGGAAAACATAACATAGCATTTCTCTGATAACATTAGTCTTCTTTTCTGAACTTAAATAAATCAAGAAGCTTAAATTAAAATAACACAAGTTACAAAAGCCCATATACATGTTTTTGCTTTATACATTCTGTATTTCTCATTGTTAAGCATTCATTGAGAAAGAACAACTCTGCTTTTTGACAAAATACTGGGAGCTGGAAATCTTGTGGTCAACAAATAAAGTCAAGCAATTATAATGACACTCTCAAGATCCACATTTTTTTTGTGTAGTTCTGAATAATTTTCTGTAGATGTGGTTCTAGGTGTGGAGACTAGAGTGCCAGCTGGAAAAATGGATACCACTCTTTGAACTACTATGTGTGAGTTAGCAGTAGGCATCTGTCTAGTCTCCTGCTCTACTTATCTCAGATTTACGGGGGAAGATAATGACATGGAACTATAATATCTGCTGATCACTACATCCAAAGATCAGTACAGTTGTCACTATGAAAAAAGTAATTGGTGAGGTACATGATAGTGAACTTCTGGCCTGAAAAATTGCAGATCCGATTTGATCTGATAGTTGGAGTCAAGGATGAAACTATTCAAATGAAATCATTAAAACCTTCTAAAAAGAATTTGCAAAAAATCCCCTGAGAAATTGAGTGACTGTGGAAGAAAACTTAATGGAAAAATGTTTTAGTGCCTGAAAAATTCTAGCTATTTTTCTATAGAATAGAGCTATTTTTGTTGAAAAAATGATGTATCAACTTTCTTACCTGAACTTTCTTTAAATAATTGCCTTAAGAATTCTACTTAAATTTTTTTTCTTTGCCTTTAATTATTAAGAAAGGCTGGTAATACTTGAAGAACATTTAGGTGTGAGAAAGACCCAAGTATGTGAAATTATGCAATATAATGAATATCATGGGTAATTGTGTGTGTACACAGCTGGTTTGACTTGCATGCAGAAAGGCATTGGAAATAGATAATTGGTGTTCATGTAAACCTCAGATACTTGCAGATTTCTCTCCATTTCCAAAATGGATAAGTTTCACTTCAGTTATTATAATATATAAGCAAAATATTGAACACTTTCTATTATCAAAATATTGGATTAATTTGGTGAGACTGTCTTTGTATTGCATGTCTAAGTGCTCACAAAGAAGCAAGTAATTTAATCATTTGTCTAGAACAGTGTTTTGTTTTTCATGTATATTTTGTCTTCTTAAATTACTTGGTTCTCTCTCTATTAAAGCATTGCAAAGAATGCTTTTTTTTTCTCTTTTGCAAGAAGTTTTTACATCCTCCAGAAAGTAGTCCATTTGTATCAAGAAATATGCACAACTGAGTAGCAGTTCTATGAGTCGGTGTGCTTTCAAAATACTTTAATACAAAAAAAACAAATGCACTAACTTCCGACTCTTTTTGAAAGAGACTAGGAAAAAAATTTAATTCTAGCATAGCCCTATCTTCTCCTGTGCTTTGTTTTATTTTTTTCAATAATGGTCTATTGAGGATTGCTGAAGGACTGCAGTTTAAATTTACTGATGCCTACCTCAGTGTTGGGGAGGAGAGCCTGTAAGGATTTCTCTGCTGTTATTGGGTTCTCTCAATGGTGTTATACCCAAATAGTTGTGATACAAACACATGCAACAACAAAAAAATTTAATAATAGATACATATCAGGGGTGACCTTAGTTAAAACTTAACTTTTTATTCTCAATGTGAGTAGTCCTAAGTGCATGAAATAAAAAAATAAAAACATTTCCTTATTTTGCATGTATGTGTGTGGAAAAATGATTGAGCAAATTAGTTTCTTGCAATTCTTGTTAATTCTTTGGTGTAAGAGACCGTATTTTCACTGTGTTGTTTGCAAAGTCCATGGTGAGCATGGACATGGTATGTCCAACCCTTCAAGATGCTACGACAAAATGACTCACTTAACACTGAGAAGAATTTTGTACATGTTGGTTGTTAAAAAGAGTTTATAATCATAGTGCATTTAAGAAGAACAATTCCTAATCTTTCTTGCTTCAAATTAAAAGTTTAAATTTTGCTTTAAGATAGGGTCTTCATGTGAAAAAATGACAGGACAGTTAAAAAAATATATGGGCCTGTTTCACTGAAATGTAATTAAACCTAAGTTGAAGTGAAATAATAAACTTAGAATTAGTGTTGAGAATAAAGATTAGATGTTGAGTTTAAGTGATAACATTTTATGCAATGTACAGTAATGTTTTGAAATCTATCTGGAGCAGTATAAACAGATCTTTCCAAACTAAATTTTTGTCTCTTTTATTATTGCATCATTTCATGTCTCATTTTTATTGCTTATATTTTCCTGTTTTTGCATTTCTATTTCACAGGGCAGAGTTTTCACATGCTATATTGTATTTATTAAAAATATTTAAACATCAAATAAAAACTTTTGTATCATCATTATATAGTGGATGAGGTGTTAACATATAACTCTAAAAGCACTTGAAGTGATTGGTTTGGCAGCCATGGAAAAAAAAAATTAAATAAAAACTGAACAGAGAACAATACATTTTCTCTGAATATTTGTGTTACTGAGGAAGGAAGCAATGTTCTGTACACATCACTCAGTGGAATTATTTCCAGTACTGAAAAAAGATTTAACTGTATTGCGAAGATATCTCATGCAATGAAGGCAGAATGAGAGGTTTTCTTAAATCTGTCAGTATATTGATTTATTACACACACTCTGTAAAGAGCATAAGAATAGATCCTCAGTTAGAGTGATTTATCAAAGCTCATTGTCATAGGATATCAATCTTCAGAAGCAGCGTAGGAATTCTGGTTTCAATTATTGTTTTCTGAGATTTTTATGCTAATTTTTGACAACTTTTATCTCGCTTCTCTCAAATTTAAAGTGAGATCCAAGTCTTCAAATTGGACATTTATCCTTAGCAATGCAGTTCCTGTGAAAATGAAAAAGGTAAGATTCTGGATCATATGTCACAACCTAGCTTTCACTGTAAAGGCCAATCAGACCCTTGAGGTGTGCACTATGCCACAGGATAAGCCAAGCTGCTTCCCTGAGAGCCTCTATCAGATGGAGCCCACTGCATTCCGGTGTGTTAGACAACATTCTGCCTTTGAGGAAACTCATTTTGTGAATTACCTATGCTTAAATACTTTAAATACTGTAGAATTATGGGAGCAAACTCCCCTGTGTTTCTGTCTGCAGAATGAAGGAAATATCTGTCCTGAGCTTCCTGAATGCTTGAGAATCCCTCATGCCCAAGACAAATACCAGTGAAGTCTGATTTAGTAAGGTACCACAACAATTCTCAAATTCTTGTGTTAGGAGCAGGTTCCACATCAGATGTACTACCCCGTGCAAAAATAGTTAAACTGCAGTGGTAAGGTCCTGTATTTCATGAACTTGGAGTTACAGTAAAAAGTTTTGTCACTGCTCTTGGTAGTTTTCTTATGTTACAGTTTTGTGAGCCTCGTTAATATTTACCTAGCCTTTGCATAATGACTTCTTAGGAAGATATCCAGGCAGAAACCCGACTTGTAAAGTGGCTAAGTGATGGGAAGGAACAGTGTTCATGACATATCCTTGTTCTTAGAAATTCCACATAAGTTTCTTATAGGCAGTTTCCTGATCAGCAAAGTTGATTTGCTTGAATTTTGGTTTAGTGACATAAAACCTTCAGTAGCCCTCAGCATTTAATTCGGGATTTCACATAAATCAAGATTTCTAAAATTATTTCCCATATGATAATTAGAAATTATTTTGTTGTGATCAGCTGGAGGTGAATGTACCCCCCTGACCTGGCAGGGGGTATGCTACAGACATTAAAAAATATATTTCCATATATAAAGGTATGAAAATAGACTATTAAAAATCATTACATTATGAATTTTTATAGCACCGTTCATCTTTAGCTATACAAAAGATGCACCAAAATGCTTAAGCATATATGTATCTTTTAAGTTTGCCACAAGTATAATAAAGAATAGAATTTAACTCTTCTGTAGTTTCACTTTGGAGTTTGCATAAACTTATAATTAAGCAAGTGCTTAAGCACTTTGCTGGATCTTGGCCTAAGAGCTTAATGATTATTTTACAGTATAATGACATGTCCAGTATGAAGGGAAACAAAACCTCTGTCTATAGGACTCATTTGCCATGAAAAAGTCTGTCGGTATGTTGCATGATAATCAGTTCAGTTCAATGTACAGTAAATTGGATCATTATTATTAATTTTCTCATCTCCCAAGCAATTCATGAACCATTTTTAGAATTTCAACAGTTCATGAATCAGACAAAAATGAATTAAATAAGAACCCAGCCCACAATGGGATGATGAGTCAGAGTTCTTTTCTGTATCAGTGTCGACCAAAGTGAATCTGAAATCTAATGAGGATTGGCACTGTGGCAGAAAAGGCCATAATGAACATGAAACAATATGTTGAATTTACATGTTAAGACTTTTTGTTGATTTTGGCAATTTCACTGAAGATTATGTGAAAAATCCATAAACATCTGGATGAGAAGAGTGGGGGGTATCACTTTATATTAAAATGATGGAGTTTATATTGGGATACAATACTATAAATGGAAGAGGAAAGTAGTTTCTTGCACAGCTGTTTCCAATTTTGCTAATCTATATTTCAGGCCAAATTCACGATGGAATTAAACCACAAATTTACATTGATGTCTATGTGTCTGAATTAAAGATACAGGGGAAAAAAACTTTTGAAGATCACTAAATCTCAGTAATACTTTAGAGGTATTTAGTCAGCTTTATTTTCAGAAGACAAAATTAGCACATACAGCTGCTATTTGTGGGCCTGTAGCTTTTGAAAGTGAAGGACTAAGTTTACAAAAGGACATATGCACATTTTTAGGCCCTGAAACACGGGTGCAAAATCGCTGTTTAGAATCAAAGCTTACGTTTTATTCTGAGATCAAAAAGTTTTGCTCTAAAGGTTTTGTGAACATTTCAACATGAGGATGCTGAGTACCTACAAATTTTAATACTATTTTTTAACAACAGATATGTGTATATACGTATATATATATATATACACACACATATATAATAGGATTCAGCAATGGCTCTATTGTAAACACATGGGAGTACGTGTCTCCATTTTTTTATAAAGCATTAGCCAATGAATAGCCTATTTTCAAGTTTTCTCTTGAAGTCTTTAGGAAACAAATCTAATTCATTGCCAAAACCAGTATGTGTTCTGCTTCAGTAAAAAGGAAAGTGTGAAGAGATCAGAGGCAGAGAATAGTGTTTGACAAAAGGTCATGATGAAGCTCCTAAAATTAATGCTGTTTGTGTACAATTAACAATCTTCTTTTAAAGATTTCCAACTTAGGATGTATAATTAGGGTAAAATAAAGTTATTTCATAACAAAAAATAAAAATGAGGTTAAGAATACGTCCTACTGTACTGCAGTAGACTGTATGACAAAGATTTCTGCGGTGGGATTGGTTTTGCAGCAGTGTCAAAGGCAGTGTCAGAAAACAGATATTCCACAGTCCTGGAATGGCGATGCCTGTGGCTGGGAGGGCAGGCTGCACTGTGGGAGCTGTCAATCATAGCACTGGCAGGTAATCCAGCTTCTGATTGGTCACACCACCAGAAGTCCCACCCAGAGGGCGGGCCCACACAGGCCCAAGGTGATAAAACGGGTGACCTCGATGTGACCGCCACTGGGGTTTTTTTCTCTCTGGGCCCGCAGCCAGGATCCTGGATTCATAGCTCTAGGTGTGTTTTTCTGCTCTCTTCTTGTCTCAATCCTCTTTTCACGGAGCTTTTATGTGTAGCAAAACATCTTAGTATTTTAAAGTCTTCTGGGTTGAATTCGCTAAATTTATGCTAAGTTAATATTAAGTAAATGCTGAGTTATGTGGTAATAAGTGTTTCATGTTGAATTCAATATTGTATTTTGTCCTTTACTGAAGGTCCTTGATCTTCTATGTTTTTGCTAGTAAACCTCTGTGTGAATTTCACCTCCTGAGAGTATATAGTGTGGATTTCTTTGTGCTAAAACAGAATAATGGGACGTTGAGTTTAACCCCTGAGTTTAAGGGTCTGGGCTGTAACAGACAGTAAAGACAGTATATCATGTTTAGGCCAAACAGGAAATGTGAAAGTGTCGTGGTTTAGCACCAGCCAGAAATTTAACTGCTGGCCACTCCAAAAATTGGACATTTCTTGGTGCAAGAAATAAAAGTATAATTTTTAATTAAAAAGGAGATTTGGAGGGAAGTTACCACAATTTTAGTGCAGCTAATAACTTTTGAATATTGTGTATAGTTATTTACTGTTAAAAAAAAAAGAGAAATTGTTTCTATAGAAACTACTAAATCACATAATTTACATGCTATTTGGAAAAAATAGTCTTTCTTAACAGAGATGCTATCTGATATGTCATTGGAATTGTGAAGTTTATAGGTTTATATCTCTTAACACCAGAATGTCAACAGATTACCGTGGATTTTAAGTAAAGGACATTGCTTAATTGAAGGAAATGATGGGAAACTATATTTGATGCTGGGGGCTATCATATATTTTTCTCTAAACCTCTTAGATATTTTCTATTTAGAAACACTGTGTTCTAATTGATTATACTCTAGGGCCTAAGCTTTATTTTAAAAATGAAATAAAGGATAGTTGCTCTTCTGTTCCTAATGAGTTCTGATAGCTTTATGATCTCAAACTTTAAAGGGTGAGCTAAAAAAAAATAAGCCGAGAAACAAATTTAACATTAGTTAAATAATAATTTCCTGAATGCAAGAGATCTGTAAAGAATTGAATTGTTAAAGAGCTAATACCAAGATTGAGAAGAAAGAAGAGAAATTTTAAAGTTTGTGGTATGTAGAGAAGATTGAAATTTTCTTAAGGCCAAAGAACTATTCCTCAGAAACTGTGAATCTGACCCAAAAGAAGCAGTATCTGAATAAGTGTTAAGGCTGAAATACATCGGGGGTAAAAGGAAACTTGTCTGAAGATTTACAGTCTGCTTAGAATTCTAGTCATTTTAAAATGGTTTCATGTCTTGTGTCTGAGCCTAGTCTTAACTGACAGCTGTCACTTATATTGCCAGGTCAGTATTTTTTGCTACTGTCATGGCCAGTCATCTGACCATTCCTGAAAATAATAATGTTATTAAATAGTTGGAATATTGCTACTCATTAACAAAACACAACTCGTTGAAATAATTTGCTGCCATTTTGGGACAATTCCAGTGAATGAAAAGGGCACCTTAACATATTTCAGCTACTCAGTGAAGAATAGCAAGAACAAACCATATCTAAAGATGGATAGTGGGATTCATTAGGTGAAAAAGATTGGGGCTTAGACTCGGGTTGCAAATCAAGACTCAGGGTTTTTTTGGTATGCAGAAGCTTTCTTTGTAACTTTTTCTCCTGAGAGTGTGTGTCTCTGTTTCATTTTTCATAACCTTGCTGATTTGTTTGTAAACCATCTCTTACTAAACAAATTTCTTTAGCAAAAGTATTTTAAAAGAGTATGACTGATACTGTTCCTTAGGTGTGTGTATGTCTTTAATGAGTTGGACCCAGTGATGTTGATGAGTCCCTTCCAAATCAACATACTCTATAAGTGTATGATTCCCAACTGTCTCTGTGGAGTTTCAGGCTTGGAGTGATTTTATCCTTGCAGTAGGGACACACAAGAAGAAGGCCTGTCATTGTTACCTTTGCCACCATTATTTCCTTAAGTTACAGTGAGGCCAATATTCCTCCCCTCCGTTTTTCATCCATAATTATGCCATTCTGGTAGTTCTGACAGTACTTCTTAAGCTTTCATTTTCTATTCAGCTTTGTCTGATGGATAATATAGAAGCATATGGAAATGCAGAAGAGCATGGCCAGAAGAGAAGACTGATTAAACAGTGGGTAAAACACTGAACAATATCATGGCTGAACATTTATTATGTCACCTTCAGTGACTGCTATTATATCTTTATGTACCTTCATCCCCTAAGAAAATCCAAAGAAGTTTTTTTTGGGATATGTAGTTGAAGGAGTTCAGCCTTTACTATGTCTCTTGCGGGGGCAAAATGACATTTTCTCTCACTCAACTTCTACATTATAGTGCCAGAAAAAGTGTGTGAAACTATTGTGTGAATTGTAATGATAAAATACTGCAATAAATTGGGGCAAAAACATATATTCAAATTTTTATGACATCCTTCTGTGTACTCTCTCCTTTAGATGGTGAGGTTTACATAAATATCTTTAAAAATCTGCCTGTTGTTATTCTGCAAGCTAACAAATCTGTGTAACTATTATATTCTAGAATATGTTTTAAATATTTGTTAGCCAATTACAGCAAAGTCTTTCATTCAAATTCAATGAAGTTTAGTAGGTCTGTAAATATACATATGTTTTCTGTAATTTTTTTTTCGTATATGGATGTCTTAAACCTCATAATGTGTGCATACATTGGGGTAGGTGTCACAAAAAACAAAATGCTGGTTTTTAAAAGCATCCTCTATTATGGGCATGTTATTTTTGTTTCAAGTCAGCTAGATGATCCTAGTTTGTAGGCATTTTTGACAGGCAGCTGACACCTTCTCTAAACATTTGAACCATAGATGTGATATTCAAAAGCTAAATATGTCTGGATGGTCCTCAGATCTCATCTGGGAAATTCAGGATCCCAGATCTGGGTGTAAATCTCAGGATGCATCTTAACTCAGGTTTGGACAGGATGTTCATACATTCCATCCCTTCTTTGTCTTTTATAGACTCCAGGTGAATGAGCAGTTACATGTTGATTCTTGTCCCAGAATTTAAATATAGCCTAAGTGAACTCTTACTTACTATAGACGAGAAGGGTGTGCAACTTCTTACAAAAGGGGTTGTAGTTGTAAGACATAAGAAATAAATAAGACATGCTTAAAAAAGAGCAGGTTTGCATTGCTGAGAACCAGGGTGCACAAATACCTACATCTGAACCATCAATAGAATATACACTGTGCTCATGTAGAAAAGTTTTGGCTAAACAGGTCATGGATTTAAGACACAATGTCCTTGCTTTTGTTCATGTGTGCACCTCTGAAATTGTATGTAATGGTTATTGTATTATTATACTGTGGAGGCTGTCTCATTTTCCTGAAATAAATGGGGATATTTGGTCAGAGCAGTGGGTAAGTAGGAACTACCCTTTTGACTTTATGAGGAGGCAGTTCCACCTTTCAGTTCTGCTAATCTTTTTGAAAAGGCATTAGAGTCCTGATAAAGATTTCAGGTTGGGACTGTTGACAGATTTGTTACCTGACCTGGCGCTCACCAGTGCAGATGAGCTCATGAAAGGATTGTGGCAGCCTGTGGTGACCATGCCCTGGATGAATTTGTGATCTGAAGAAGTGTGGCCTGGTGAGGAGCAAAGTCAAGACTGAAATTTGTGAGACCAAAATTCCAGCTATTTAAGGAGCTGGTGAATGAGTTCCCCTGGGAACTGCCCTTATGAACAGAGGGGCTGACCAAAGATGGCAACTCTTTAAAGCCACTTTTCTTAGGGCACAAGAGCTCTTCATCCTGTTGGGCAGGAAATCAAGGCAGGCTGGAAACCAGCATGGTTGAGCAAGGATCTGCTCCTTAACTTGAGGAGTCTGAAAGAAATACACAGCCAGTGGGAACAGGGACAGGTGACCTGGGGAGTGGACAGGGATACTGTTCAAATATGTGGGGATGGGATCAGGAAAACCAAGGTAAACATAGAACAGAACTTTGCAAGGGATGTGAAGAACAGGAAGGTATTTTATAACTACATAGGTCAGATAAGAAAGGATGAGTGTACTCCCCCTCAGAAGCAAGAAGGCTGAATTCGTGGCAGTGGAGAAGGCTGAGGTACTTTGAGTTCTTTGCCTCAGTCTTCACTGGAAGTGAGACTTCCCACTTGTCTCAAGTCCCTGAATTTCTGCGTGGGTGTGTGGGAAGTGAAAGTCTTACCACTATAAGCAAAGGACAGGTTCTGAACCACCTGATGAAGCTAAATAGCCATAAGTATATGGTACTTGATGACATGCATCCCAGGATCCTCAGGGAGCTGGGTTACATTTTTGCCAAGACATTCCATCATATTTGAAATTTCAGGACAGTCAGGTGAAGTCCCTGGTGACTGGAAAAAGGGAGACGTCACTCACATATTTAAAAAAGGGAGTAAGGAAGTTCTGAGGAATTTTAGACTCACTGGTGAGCCTTACCCATGCCTGGGAAGGTCTTGGAGCAGATCCTCCTAACAAATATGCAGTCACATGAAAGACAAGGATGTAATCTGAGGCAGACAGTACCGTTTTACTGAGGGTAAATTGTACATGACCAATCTGGTGGCTTTCTGTGGTGGAGTAACTCCAGCAGTCATCAGGAGAAGACTGACATATGTCATTTATCTAGACTTCTGTAATGCCTTCAATACAGTTCCACATGACACCCTTTTCTCCAAATTACAGAGCCATGGATTTGATGGATGGACTGTTCAGTGGTTAAGGAATGGGCTGGGTGGATGCAAACAGAGAATTGTGTACAATGGTCAGTGATGAGTGGTGTCCCTCAGGGCTCTCTCTTGGGACTGGTGGTCTTCAATATTTACATCAGCAATATAGACAATGAGATCATCAAGTGCACCTTCACCACGTTTGCAGGTGTCATGAAGCTGAGAAGTGCAGTTGACAGAACAAAAAAGGTGTGGCCAACAGGTTGAGAGAGGGGATTTTACCCCTCTCCCCATGAGAA